ACAAACTACGTAGGGTGCTCGTGGACATACGAACATGCTACGGATTGCCCATGGATTCGATGAGGAAATCGATTGTGGGGCAGATCAGATATGTAGTCGATCTTCTACTCGAATCTCGAGGAGGAAAAGGCCGCACGAGCACAAAACGTCTGGCGAGGCCCGCGCGGGTTTCTGGGATCACGCCGAATTCCCCTCCCTGGCGCGCGGAGCGAGGTAGGGGCGGCGCCAAGGGGGGTCCCAGCGCCGACCCAAGAGAGCCGTGCGGGCCTTCGAGAAAGTGATGCTCGTGGCATTGTTTCTTCCTCTGGCCATGCGGGGCTTGCCAAGAACGTTGGGGTCTCCAACTACGGTCCCACCCTGCTCGAGCGTGCGTGGGAGCACCTCGCCAGGCGGGGCGTCCCTTTAGCCTGCAACCAGATCCACTTCAGCATGCTCTACCGTAGACAGGGCTCACTCGCGACCATCGAGAAGTGCAAGGAGCTGGGCATCTCCACTCTGGCCTACTACCCGCTCGCAATGGGCCTGCTCACTGGCAAGCTGACGCCTGCGGGCCTGCGCGACAAGCGTGATACTCGCAGCGCCGAGCTGCTGCGTTACCTTGTGGGAGGGAGGGGGGGCGGCTTCCCAAACACCGCAGGCGATATTCCGAAGGGAGGCATCAGCAAACTTCTGGAAGCGTTGCAGGAGGTAGCCGAGCGCAACGGCAAGACGCTGGCGCAGGTGTCCCTTAACTGGGTAATCTGCAAAGGCGCCATCCCCATCCCGGGTGCTTCTAGCGTTGCGCAGGTGAAGGACAACGTGGGCGCTCTCGGCTGGCGCCTATCTCGTGCGGACGTAGCTCTCCTGGACGCTGCCACGGACGGGCTGGGGTTCGAGTTTCGCGGCTCCGGCTTCCAGACGGCTGACTCCAAGTTTGTGGGGTACGGTTTCGAGAAGTGGCAGCTCGACTGAGAGCGCAGGCAGCTGAGGTCGCATTCGGCCCGAACAGAGAGCCCTGCAGCTCCACTTCTTTGAAAACTGAGAAGGCCCCTCCAGGCCAAGTCTGCGAGGCTGTTACTTGGTATCTGTTTTTCAGTCAAGCTCAGAAGGCCTTCGGCACCTGCCGCCAGCCAGGGCTGCTCACTCACCGGGCGCGTTCCACTACTCGCAAAGTGCCTCTTCGCAAGCGTCCAGGAACAAATGTTCGCCTCGATGTAATGGGTCGGAAATCCTCCTGGGCGGAGCCAGGCCATTTGCGAGTAGTTATTTTGCGAGTGTTGGAACGCGCTTGTCGACTCACGGCCCGGTCCGATCTCAAACCGTCCATTCCGATCTCAATCCGATGCGATCCGACGCTGACCGATTCCGAATCAAGTCCTCGGGGACCGAGCGCCCGATCCGCGATCCCAAACGATCCGACTCCGCGCCAGTTCGGGCGCGGTGCGGCTCGTTCGGGGCTCAAGAAACGGAGGTCTATGCAAACGGGGGTTCAGTCAGAGCGCCAGATCTTGCAGGATCCTGCAAAGCCGGGGCTGCACTGACCAGGGTTTGGGGCGCAGGATGCTGCAGGATCCTGGAACGCCTGACTGACCCAGGTCTGGATTGACCCGGTCAGTAGATCCCCGACTTGTGTCCGGTCCGATAGTCGATCCAGCTCAAGCTTGCCAGCCCCGTCCCCAACAAACCTCCAGCGTGATTTTCCACGCACGGCCCCCCGAAGGTCTGAACCTCTAGTCTGAGGGACCCATTCTTCATTCCGAGTTGGGTTTTGAAGGCCCTAGGGCCCAGTGAAGGCCCCCAGGGGCCGAAAATGGCCAAAGACCTTCAGTCGTGATTATTCCCTGGCGCGAGGATGTCAGGGACCTCCGAAAGTCCACCTTCATGTTGCGATGTCCCAGTGTACGAAGGAAGAGCAGCAACAGTAGAAAGAGGATGTGGAGGCAGAATGGGGAGAAGCAGCAACAGGTGAGGGAGCATGAGAAGGGGAAGGGAGGGGGGAAGCAAGGGAGGAGGAGCAGGACAACAGCCATTGTGATGGGAGTGACACGAGGGAAATGAGGAGGAGGAGCAGCAGCAGCAGCAGCAAGAGGAGAAGCAGGATGGAGCGCCTCACCGATCCTGGGCGGGCCCAGCCAGCACGGGCCCGCCCAGGATCTCAGGGCGGTCCGCCAACGTCGCCCCGAGGAGGGCGGCGGGGGCGGCGGAGGCGGCGCCGCCTCAGCGCAGAGGCCCCCGCAAGTTCGGGCCCAGAGGATTTTCTGCTCGGGGCATTTCTTCGCTTGGCCGCGGCGCCACGCAGTTCCAGCCCAAGCAACCGCTTCCAAGCACCCCATGGCTCGATCTTCGAGCCGCCCCAGGCTGTCTGGCCGAGCTGTCAATGCGCGCAGAGCGATGGTCCGTGTAGGGCCATTGCATCCGCATGGAGGACAGAGTTTTCCTCGGCGCGACCCTCATCTGTATTTCGCACCGCTCGTAGGACCAGCATGTTATACATAGTTGCTAACTGATGCGCTGTGTCCGCGAGCTCGGAGCGCGTAAGTCGAGCATGAGGAGGGGAAGGAGTACAAAAGAATTGGTGGCAGCTGTGCCCGACAGTTGCATGCGGCAGCCTTGTCAGGCAGCACGCGGTGCAGAGCGAGCACGAGCATCCAGCCAGGTGATCTCCGTGAGCATAGCTGGTTGAGCTGCCAGTTCATTGGACGTGCGCTTTCACGGGCGCATGGGGTCACAGGCAGAATAAGATAGGAGGGATGGTTAGCCGATCTGAGTGCTGTAGTGAAGCGAGCATGGCAGCCTAAGGACATGTTGAAAGCAGACAGTGATGGACACACACGAGCGGCTGAGCCAGGAGCCCCACGACCAGGAAATCATGGAATGCTTGACAGGCAGGCTGGGCCAGATTGTACCAGTTCGCAATGAGTCGTAGACAGAAAGCATCGGAACATCAGCGCTGGGTACAGTGCCGTCTTTAATACATGCTCCGCGTGCGGATCGTGTGTTAAAAATGCAGGGATTAAATATTAGAAACAACGAGGAGTTCATGCATAAATGTATTCCTAAAATAGTCATATAAAACTCTTATAGGTTTAAAATCCTATGTCTTAAAAACTGCCCTGTAATTTCGAAGTGTACTTCGCAAGAACATCACCAACGGCCGCTATCCGAAACCATCCTTGGCGCTCACGATAAGGCAGGGTGCTGGCACAGCGCACGCACGGCACGCAGGACACAGGCACCGCTCGCTCGCGCAGCTGCCCGCGGCAGGGCACGCTTGCTGGAAGCAGCCCCGGCGATCTCCGATCCTCGCGAACACACGCCGAAGGCAGCGTTCCCCAATCTTATGTCGGGGGTGCCCCCCTACAGGGAGATTTTCGACGAAAAATAAAAAATACCCCCAAAATACCAAAAAGGTCATAAAATATTTTGAAAAATAGTTCCCAGACTATGTTTGGACTATTTTTTTGTATTATGTTTGGTGTATTTTTTATTGTTCGTCGAAAATCATCTGCAGGGGGACAGGCCCGACTTAACCCCAATCAGTGTTTGCACTGAAGGGGCCCCAGCGGAAAGTGAAAGGTTTGGCGAACGTTTCCCGCCGAGTCTGGTGGCCGGTTGGTTGCCTGGGTTCCCAGCTCCGTCTTCCCGGGTTCCTCTGGTTGTTGGTTCCGGGCCGATTTCGGTGGGTTCCCGGGATCCTGGCCGATCTCCTGATCGATCTTTTTCTCGATCCCATTACAAACCATCCATTGTTTGGGGTTTTTCTCTGGTGTCATTCGGACGTGTTGCGGTGCGCCGACCCGTTTGGAGCATGCCGCTCCTCCTCCGCAGCACCAGCCTTACGTCGGGCCTGTACCTCTACAGGGGGGAATATTCAAGCATTGTGCAAAAAATAGTCTGGGTATTATTTGTTTAGTATTGTTTGACCATTTTGGAACATGTTTTGAATATTTGTTTCGTCGAAAAAAATCCCCCTGTAGGGGGACACGCCCGACTTAACACCAGCCTCGCGATGTGCGTCTCCGTCGCCCGTGGTGGCCCGAGTCGCCGAGGGAGGGGGAGGGGGCCCTGCCTGCCCCCCTGCCTGCCCCCCCTCCTCCTCCTCCTCCTCCTCCTCCTCCTCCTCCTCCTCCTCCTCCTCCTCCTCCTCCTCCTCCTCCCCCTCCTCATCCTCCTCCTCCTCCTCTTCCCCCTCCCTCCCACCTCCCACCTCCCTCCTCCACCTCCTTCCTCCACCTCCTCCCTCCTCCGCTC